ACAATCATAATACAACTCAATCAACACAGAACAACAACAAACAAATTAAAACAAACATAATAAAAATAAAATCAAAAAATAATTGAATAAAATACTTACAGAAGCAGAATCTTTACAGATAAAGAGGAGAGAGAAAATTAAATTAAATTTTAAAAAATCAAAAACAAAAAATGGGGAATGAAAATGGGGGAAGAAGAAAAAAATATATATATATATATATATATATATATATATATATATATTAAAACTGTATTTTTATTGATTTTCTTTTATAATTGTTTTGTAAAGTTGTTGATTTTACGATTGAAAATTCTTTTTTACAAAACTAAAATTACATTTGTTGAATTGAAATGAAATTATTTTTTAAAATTCTATTAATTTTAGGTGAAGAGAACAAGACCTAAATATATATTTTTCTTATTCATCTGTTTCTCATTTTATTGAATCTTTTTGAACTTATACTTCACTTGGGTGGTAGGGATCTAAACCACGCATAATGTATATATCCAATGTAGGTTTTGATATTTGCTGACAAAAAATATAATAGAAAGAAATACTTAATCGTTTTGGACTTGTTATACTAAACTACTACTATATATATATATTTTTTTTAATGGTAAGAAGAAGGGAGGCTCATTTGAGAGGAGAGGATAAGGGAAATTCCTTAAATGAGTCCCATGAGATCTAATCCCTAGACCTCAGAGATACAAGGTGGGAACGATGCCAATACTCCATCACCTCAACCTCACTAAACTACTACTATATGTGATTATGTGTTCATTTCATTACATTACCAAACTAGTGAATGTTCGGGCGATACACATAATCTTTATTTTCGTATTTTTTATCTAATGAGGAAAACTAAAGGTCATGATATGATAATTAATTAATTATTAAATTTTCGAAAAAAAAATTAGTTTGGGAATGAAAAGAATAGCATATAACAGATAGCTTATACAGAGTACAATACAATTTCTACCATATGTGAAATTGAGATAAGAGAAAATGAGCCGTGTTCTCTTCACCTAAAACAATATGCCGATCGAAGTGAAACTCTTAAAAAAAAAAATTTAAAAAGGGGAGTATGTGTATACTTGGAGCTGGCCTTGGCTACTCATTTGTTACTCAAGTGGCAGATTTAAAAATAAATAAAATAAAAAATTAAAAAAAATCAAACTCATCTTTCAGACTTCACCGCATCTTCATCACAGCCACCAATGTATCTCCATCACAGCCACCACCTCCATCACAACACCACCCAAAACCATCACCATCTTTCCGCCTTCTTCTTCATCTCCCCTTCATCCTCTTCTTCTTCTTTTCTTAACAATGGCCCCAATGCCGCTTTGCAACAAAACAAAAAAACACCCTAGTAGCAAATAGTGTAAAGTAGGGCCATATCAACCCTTTTTCGTGGCAACATTGTAGAAGGAGGAAGTACGAAAAAATTTGGAGCCATGGATCTACTGCTGTGAGCCTCTGAGTTTTGGTAGAAGGAGGAAGACCTTATGGTGAACATAGATCGTCCGACCGGTCCCAACCAGTATCGTCGTCCTAATCGGTGGTCTCCTATCGCCTTCCCAACCACTATCGCCGTCCTAAGCGGTGGTGTAACACCCCCAAAATTCGAGTCTTTTAAAACAATAAGAGTAACCTTTTTACCTTTCAAAACCCAACCATCAAACCTTGGGAGTGTTACTGCTACACTTATATTCCATAGAAAACAAATGCAAAGCAAAACAAAATACCATTTAATAAACTAAGTGATCTAAGTGGCGGCAAAAATAAAGTAGTCATTACATCCAAACTGTAAAACATTTTAAATAAAGTAAAAAAAAAAAAAATAAATAAATAAGTTCGGAAGTAAACTAAATTGTCTTAGCTACGTGATTAATCTAACGTCTCCTCACACATAACCGAGTACTCTCTTACCAACCTGCAAAATAAATCAAAACAAGGAAAGAGAGAAAACTCCCAAAATCAGATAAACTGAGTAATTCCAACTTCATCCCGTAAAATAAATAATTTTAGTTCGAAAAACATTTTACACAACACAATTTCATCGACATTATAATACTAAGCCAAAATCAAGTTGTCACATAACAATTTATTACTTTAGTTAAGAAAGGGAAAGAGAACGCCAGTAAGTCGGGACTAGTCCCTGTCACCACCTACTTTACAGAGTGTCGCGCGTAACCCCAAATAGCCATAAATTAAAACAGAATGTCCCTAGTGTGCACACCCCTCACTAATACCCCCATTGATTAGGAGGAAGACTAAACAGCAATATACGTTAATTTAAACCAACTAGTAGCAACCATAACTACTAGTGGGCAACCTGTTCTTCACTCTTTCGGGTTTCATTTCCCTTCTTAATTTAATGTACATTTTAATAGATTAAATTGTCCGGTCACATTGCACACAAGTATTGCACAAATCAATTTAATCACAAGTAACAATGTTTCAATTTCAGTATTATTAGAACATAGTCATTCTACATGACATACTAGTTACAACTCATTTCCCAATAGGCCTTGGAGACTATCAATCACATATAATCAATCATCCAATTCCCAAGATTTTAATTATTTAAAAAAAAAACTCATACGATACCAATTAATCAAATTTTCGAAAATACTTATACTAGTACACAAATATAGAAAACTAGTATATAATATGATTCTATAATATCATACAGTAACACACTCATCGCATATAATTACATAAGCACATAATTGGCACACAATATTTCAAAACAATTTCCTAACGGGATTCTAAAGATGATGGACATTGAAAATTACCTTGAGTTGCGCGTAAATCTCAAGGTAAGTAACCTCCGAAACGTTTACCTAGTAGCCTCCGTCTACAAATAAAGAGATAATAATACTAAGTTAGTATGACTCATATAGCTGATACGAAGTTGGTAGTAGTACACTAGTACGTGGGTAATTAAGCAACTACTTGTAACATATTGTATTGATAATTAAATTTGGAGGGGAAAAAAAATTTATTTTATAAGTCAACTATGATTATATATTTAGAAGTACAGTATGTGAATAAACAAGTGGTCCACTACTCCACTACCACAACTTTTCCCCTCTTAGCCTCCAAAACCCACGCACAAAACTCCAAAAACACTTCAATGGTGTCTACTTTGGCAGAAAAGAAAACAACCCATTTTTTCTTAAAAAAAAAACTTCCAGTTCGTCAATTACAAGATGTTCAACGAGAGACAAGAAGATTAAAGAAATTGGGTGGGTAAGACAATAAATCAAGAGAAGATTCAATCAGCATTTCGAATTTGCCAAGCTCAATTCAATACAAAGAATCACAGTAAGAAAACTCATGGCTTACTGATGAAAGATCGGTTGGGGATGACGACTTGGGCAAAATTGAAAGAGATGGGTATTATTTGATAGCGTCATACGACATATCAGTTTTGGGATTTAGGTGTATATATAGATTAGAAAACTTAGGTTGAGTTGCTCTAGAATATTCAGAAGATAAGACCCAATTCAAATTGAGTTTGTTGTAACTTCCTATCAAAAGGATCAGCTTCAATTTTTTTTTTTCCAGTTTTCAAAATCAGTTTATGTAAATTATCCAAAATTAGTTTTTTTTTTTTAAATAAATCCGAAAATAGAAATAATAATTATAAATTTATTACTATAACATATAATTTGAAAATAATTATAAATTTAAAAGTTTATACTAAAAAAAAAAAAATCGTTGACTAAATATACTCAAAATTTGGGGTATTACAGGTGGCGATTGGAGTCTCGATTCTGAATTCGATTTCACACAAACCAAAACCTAACTTTGCAAAGATCTGGGCCTGACTATTTTATGAGCTTGCCCCATTTTCTCAAAATGACAAATACGTAAATAATAGCAACTTTTTTGATATTTTATTATTTTTTCTTGCTGGGTCATCTTCTTCCTCCTCCTTCCATTTTCATCATTCCTTCTTCAACCTTTCAAATCATCCATGGAAGACGAGCCCCATTACCATAACCAACACCATTCCCGACACCACCAATACCACAACAAACCCCAACCATAACACCACCATATCTAGCGGCTTCACCGCCGAATTTAACGAAAAACTCTAAGAAAAATATATAAATTAAGGGTATGGTTAACCCTAAATGGAAGGTTTTTGCCATTATTTGAAATTGTTCCCTCCATTGTTGAAGGAATATTCAATTTTCATTATTGTAAACTGCTTAAGTTCATGGTTGAGGAGAGAGAAGTTGAGAGTAGTGGGTATTTTTTTACTAAAAAGACCAAAATGCCCTTTTGAGAAACATTGAAACATACAATGTTTCTCAAGTTGAGAAATTTGTATTTTCTCCTATTTTACCCCCAACTTACACACCGAAATGGCCCCCATATCCCTTGAGCAACATTGATTGTAACTCAAATTGAGTACTCCCTTTATCCCTTATTTACATGTCTGTATTCTTTTTTGGGGGTTTCAAAAGCACATGTCTATTTCTATTTAAATTATGTACTTTTTGACCATATTCCCTCTTTATGATGAGTTGTCATCAATTTTCTTTTATTTTTTTTTTGGTACTTTTGACATTATTTTCCAACAATTTATCTCTCTATCTCTTTAATAATTACTAACTACATTTTCTTTCTCTCTATCTCTTTCTAACCTCACATGCACATTTATACTTTCCAACCTTGGGTTTTAAGGAATCTCTAATTTACTTAATTTTCGCAAAAAATAAAAAATAGACCTGTAGATAAGAGACAGAGGGGATAACTTGTATTTTCCCGTATTGGGCTTGTACTCCCTTTGGGACAACATTTGGCTGATTTGCCTCCCTTTGGTCAAAACACTCCCAATTCGGCAAACACTCCATGAAAATGATCAATCGAAACAAAGATCGACCATGTCAATGATCCTTTTTCTTACAATTCTGCCCTAATTTCTTCAATTGTCCTCAAAAACACAAACTTTCTCACACAAAACTATCATTTTAACAGTCATGGGATCACTGGCAACCCATTTCTCGACGTTTCTGTTCATCTTCCCAGTTGGATTTCGTCGCTTGTATTCCTCTTTCTCTCTATTCCTCAAAGATCCTTCTCTTTACCGCTCAAAACCTTGGTTTCTCATCGACCCCAAATGGAAAAATTTTGACCTTTATGCCCTCCTAATTGCCCTACCCATTGCTGCTTTATCTGACCTCTTTCTTTTTCTCTCATTTTCAGGCCACCCCTCTTACAGATTTTCCTTTCTTCAACATGGGGCTGTCATTTTCTTCTTCTGGGTACTTTTAATTCTCATTTGTTTGAGAGAAATTCATGATTTTGTGTGTATTAATGAGAGTTTTTTGTTTCTTTTATCTGGGGTTTTCTTTTTGATTGATTATTTCATCAATGGCAATGGTTTTATTGGTGTGAGCGGCAATGGTTTTACTGGCGTTAGCAGCAATGTGTATGATTTGCTTGGTAATTTAACCTTAATCTGTGCCTTTTCTTGCTTGTATTTGTCGATTCGGCCTACCGCCTTTTTAGCTGATTTTTTCCTGTCTAGTGGGATGATTTTTAAAGGGACTTGGGTTTTGCAAGCTGGGTTGAATTTGTATACTTCTACATTTGGGTTGAAAGGTTGTAAGGAGGTGTCATTGTTGCCTAATCAAATGAATGTTGATGTTAAATGTGATCTTGATGAGGATAGCTTGAGGGGTATTGCATTGATGAAGTTGTTGTTTGTGTGGCATGCCATTGTGGTTATCATTGCTTGTCTTGGGTTGCTTGGATTGTTGTCATGTAAGGAGAATTTGAGATGCGGCGAGGGCAGTGGACCGTTGTTGGCGAAAATTGAGTCTCACAGTTTGTCAATGCAGCAGCTTCCTGAATTTGAGCTGGAGTAGTAGTGGTTCTGTTCTTATATCTATCTATGTTGAGGGAAATTGAGTTGCTGTGGATAGGAGATCAGTGGAGTGTTTCTTCTCTAAAGGTAGATAACCTAAATTTTTTGTGTAGCTTGTAGTTTCTGTTTTTACAGAGAATACTATCATTAGGATATTTTTGTTTTTGTTAATGTATACTGTAATAGTACTGTATTTAACATCAATAATATTATAATTTTTTCATTAATCCTTTATATTGCCATATTGCATGTTACAAAGGGGTGGTTGTGCTTATATCGTACATAAAAAATTTCATTATGTAGTTATCTATGCAAATTACATTTCTCATCTAATCTTTCTGTGATAAATCTGTATTTGAGGTCTTGAGGATACAGTTTATCGTCTTTCTTAATGAAGTATCTATTTATGATGTTACAAATGGGAGGCACCAATGCATTAATGCCAATTATGTTGGTAACTGGAATGCTTGGGGTTAGCTGTTTCATTAAATTTCGTAGAGAATTGTTTATGAATATTCATGGTGTCTGACGAGTTTCTGGAAACTATGCCTTTGTTGTCCTGGCATGCTGTCATGTGGAAATGTAAATGACAACTATATGCTTTTATGAAGCTTAGCCATTATCCCCTCCTCCCAAAATCAACTGCTGTGTTGATAGACGTGCTATCTGAATAAGTAATGTAATGACTAAATCTGCACAGAGGTAGTGTACGAGAATGGAGCACTGTTTGTGAGTTGTTACTGGAAGTATTGAATCATGGTACTGATTAGATGAGATGGAATAGGAGGAGGAAGACTGACAGGTCTGTGGTAATGAGTTTAGATAGGTCTGAGTATGATTTATTATGATAGCTTGTTACTCAGATTGACTTGAAGTCTCTCAGCAAGAGTGTGGGCATGACCAGGTTCAGGAGACAACATTCATGTAAAGCTTGGAGTCTAGTGCACTAGGCTGCCACTCACAAAAGGCATATGTCTAACAGGAGAAGGAGAGTCATAATATATAATTGGTATGGAGTACTTTCATAACTTTGGAAGCTAATTGTTGATACTGAGAAAAGGTAACTAATTTTCATACTTCCGAGATGTGATGCTGATAAATTCCCATTATTTTTTTCGTCAATCATCTTCCCCAATAATATAGCGTAATCTATGCAGGGTAGGAGTAATGATTAGTAGATTGTATTCAAGATGATACATTTCGGCTTCATAGTAATGTGTGTTGTGTTGAATTTGGAAGTAATTGTGGCATTTTTTGCTTAACTTTCAGTCTTTAGTATTATTATGTTGTTAAATGGGATTGGTGTCTATAGATCTAAAATTTGATCTTTATGCAACTTGTTGGAATAGAGTGAAACAACCATGTCAATTTTAATTAACTTTGATTTAACTTCTAAACATTTGGATCTATAAAGATGTAAAAGAGGAACACAAACTGATGGCACGTCTCTAATTTTCTGCAGGGCATCATATTTCTGCTCTTTGTAGTTAGATAAGTATGCTACTCAATGAATTTAAGTTTACATAAGCATTTGTGGCTACAGTTAAGAAGTATTGTGGAGAGTACCAGAAGCTGCTTGGTGTGCTTGCAGCTGTGGTAATCAGTCAGCCTCTGCCCATTAACAAGCTGCTAACTGGTCTTTGTGCACCCATAATTTACTGATCAATACTTGAATAGAATTACTCTAATTTTGTATATCTGTTTGCAGAGTGAAATTTGGGGGTACAAAACCATTGGGGCCCCCGGATCTTAATCTGATGATGGATTCTCTTGATCTTTCTGTTCAATTCACTGAATCCGTGAATTCTAATCCGGTATCTTATTCTCTTTATCTTTCTCTTGAAATCACCATATTGTTTTCTGAGTTTTCTGAATCTTGAAGAGTTGATAGGCTTTATCTTCCAGCCACATCCTGCATTTCCATGGTTGCATAAATTGTTATTTCTTGTGAACTTGTGGTATCAACTTTTTACAGCTTTTCATATAAAACAAAATTATGGATTTGCCCTAGAATGTTGTAATTTTCTTTTTAGTACTATGTTTAGACTTTTTTCTGTTCGTACTCTTTGAAGTGAGCGATGGGTGTCAAGATTGCAGACTATTTTATAGTATTAATTTGATTTTACTTGAGGTATTATTTAACAACTAATCATAACAGGAAAGTCTTAGAGTTTGACTTTATCCAAGACATACCTCGAACCTGTTGTTCACGATCATCTTCTTCTACGTCTGGTTTATACAAGATCTGCAACCAACAATGACAAAAGAAATGATCTTTTTTTCAATTGAACTGCTTAAAAGGATTAAAAATTTGCATTTAAATTGGACAAGCTAGTGAGATGCTGGAAGAATTAGGATATAGAGCAATATTGTAGGGTTTTTACCTTGACCAAATCTTCCAACCTCTGCCTCATCTTTCTTTGTATGAATCCCTTGGTGCCCTGCAGCAATCCTCTCATTAAATCAAGATGTGAAATTGTTGTTGTTAAAACAGTAGGAGCCGCTACAAGTAGTACCTTTATATAAGATTTAACATAGGTGTAGAAGTTCAGCAAATTCCACACAGTACTATCCAGTCTTTTGTCATCAACATGGCGCGAAAATATGTCTGCACACAAAAAGTTGGTCATCAACTAATTTTTCTAGTCTAGCCTGGTAGTTGAAGAAAGAGTGATAAGAGAGGCAGTATTACTTTCTGACTCGATAATGTTGTTAATTTGTTACTAGTGACCCATATACATATTAGCTCATTAGGAGATGTACCTGTTACTTTCTGGTTAGAGTACCTCGATATGTGGTTTTATCCTGCTAATCAACTTTCATCCCATTAAAAAATTTATTCCTAAACTGTGCCTTTTTTTCATCTATTTAGACAGTTTTTTGAACGTCACTATAACTTAAGCCATGTGAAGTGAATTATATATAGACTTAGTATGAAATGGGTTGATACCAAAAGAGACAAATCCTCCATTGGTGCTCAAGTCTTCCATGAGTTCTCCTCTCAACTCTGGAGGAGGAATGGGTGACCACGTGCATGGAGGTGCTTTAGCAAATGCCTCAGAGTTTCCAATGTCCATGAGGTCCTGTTATAGAAATTATCATCATTTGGATGATCGACATGAATATGTTTAGGATATGATGTAAATTATGGTGGGTGAGCCACAAACCTGGAAGAAGGACGTTGCTATTACCACATCTGAAGTTTCTTTGAATCTCATTGGGAATACAACAGTAATCTTCTGCGGCTGTCAAGCACATATATGTCATGCATCAAACACAAATCCCTACAATGATCATGATGCTGTTAACTAGAGAGGGGCAAGGATGTATTTCTTGTAAGAGTAAACAAGAACATTTCATCTAGAATTGCTGGTATTACCTGTCTGATGACAAAGAGGGGCTCTCTTGGGTGATATATACACTTGATTGGTTTGTAAGTCCCTTCTGGAGCATCCTCTGCACTAAAATTTCGGAGCATTTCTTTCAGTTGAGAGCTCAATATTACAGATGCTACTGCAGCAATCTCCTTAATTATCTTCACTCCAGCTGTACAAGAAATATAGGAGTGCTCTATGAATTAGATCAAATTGTAAGTGTCAAGCTTGCTCTTGCAATCTTTTTATTGTGCTAAGCGAGAAATGCATGCATAAAGTGATTTTTAAATGTATCATGAGATCTTTTGTTGCTGTGTAATTTAAAGGAAAAAGGTGAATCGTTTTAAGCACTACAAAACTTTGCAGATTATAAATTTCACTTTGTATTTCTGAGCTTATAAGCAATGTTATTCTATTTTCTGTTGTAGTAAATGTATCTGCAGACAGTTCAGAGTCGCAAACCTTTGCCTTGTGGAACGTTGTCAGTATTCAGCTGTAATGTCAATTGGTATCCATCTCTTGCCATGTTTAGTATTTCAACCACATTAGGACTTATATCTTTCACCCTTTGTATAGTGTAAGGACACAGTCCTTGTGATACCAGTGTTCTGGGGGAGAGTATTGGAGTCGAAATCGACAAATAGATGTTTTGTGGATCTGAAGCAGTGGTCTGTCAAACAGTGAATGAGATATATGAGGATAATGTACATCAAGTTCAAATTTACTCTTGAAATAAACTCAACCAGGAAAACTACTGGCATTATGAAAGTGTTTCAGTGGAACATTTGATATTATGTCCTAGGCCTTATTGTATCTTCCCTCTCATGTCTTCTGCTCGAAAAAATCTATTATGCATTTATACTCCATCCATCCACACATTTTTTCTCTCTAATTTTTCGCTTTCTTTATCATCCATTCAAAAACTTCATACTTCGTACTTCTTTAAGGGACGTAGGTCAGAGGGGGTAACGGATTTCTTATTATGATTCAGAATTGCCGATCTGTAGAACGAACTTGTGTATCGGTTTGAAGTACAAGTCACAGGGATTTGAAGCTTACCTGAACATGGTATTCCACAGACCCAAACTCATATAAATGATGATCAATATCCACTGGCTTTTGATCTCTGTCATGAAAACAGTATGATCAGCTACAATTCTACATTTCTACAAAGTATTTTATTTCATTTATTAGGCCCAAAATACCTTAGCTATTTTGCCGAATTGGGCAGAAAATTTCAGCCCAGTCTTAAAACAAGTTTTTTGGCAAAAACTTGACCCGTTTCAAAATCTGTACTACCTATAATTATATTTTTTGTTCATAATGATGTTACTACTATTGTCTAAACCACTTTATGTAGTGATGGTGCCAAGACATGCATAATTAATAATTATCAATCTTGAGTATTTTGGAATATATCTTGCATGTTTTGTGGTATATATTCTGCTGCTGGGGCAACTTTTCTTTTCTTCCTCTCCTTTCTTCTAATATCTAGTCGCATACTCAGATAGTACGCGAGCACACAGTTTGCTTGATACTCCTTCCATCCTCTAAAGATTTCTCTTCTACAAGGAATGAAGGGAGTAAAAAAATATCTTATTTGCTTGTCTTATGCGTATTGCATATTCTATCTATTGATAAATATCTCTTAGGAGTTAGGACTGTCTTACTAGTTGTTGGTTACTACAGATGTGGTGAATATGACTTTCTTTTCTCAAGTAATCTTGTTTGATTGTGCTATAATTTAGGGACTTGGTACTAATTAAAGTGTTTTGTGGTGGTCCAAGTTTATACTAATTAAATAGGTTGCTTTCTTAAAGCATACATTTTATATGTTAAAGCACTTAACATTAAATTGGTACACTTTGCAACACAACATAATATTTTGACTAACCTACATAATTATTTGTAAGGCTTTGATATATTATCCATCATTTATGCTAGTAGACTTTTAGTCGTTAAAGATAGAAATTATTCAATTGAACCATGCCAACACAAGTGCCCCTAGTAGGTCATGCCTGGGCCTATTGCTTGGCATGACACAGATCACTGGAGTGCTTGCGCCTTGCGGCCCCATAATCAACCTATAATGTATCAAAAACAAGTACTTAAAGATGCTCCACCAGACAGATCACCGGGCCATGAGTCGTGTCGCCTAGAGTCTAGAGACTATAGCCAATGCACTGACATGATTCGACCCACAACCATTTTTAAGAAGCGGCATAGGAAGCATATAAAAACATTTTATCCTAAATGAACAAACTATACAAAATTCTTACCGAAATAGCTGAAGCAGAATTTGTTGTAATGCAGGGGATGAACGTTCAAAGCAACCATTCTTAAGCTTTTTACTTCTACCGCCATCCAACCCGAAACAACCCATCTATAGTTAAACTCTCTTCCTTCCTTTCCCTTCAATAATAATCCTCATGTGTGTGTTTTTATGTTAGATGATGAAAATGAGGTAATAAAAGTTAGAAAATATGACTGAATTGTGAGTGGTGAACCAACTGAAGTAGTAAGTGGTTTGGTTTGGTGAGTGTCTTTTAAGTTATAATTATAGTAGTTAATCTTTGAAGCAAATTCATCTAAGCTAGCTAGCTAGTGTCACTCCATCTTGTCTCAATCATTGACCCATCGAAAGTTAATGTTAGTTGAAATTCTTAAAATAATGTATTGAATACAAGTATAACTTAAATCATATGAAGATAAGGTATCTAGGAGTAACTTGAGACAAACTATCCAAAAAAAAACTCTAGGGTTAAAGAGTAGGAGTAGTTAGGACGGACTATCATATTGTATTTAGAGTTAGCATGTGTGGGCCTGTACGTGGGTCTAATATGGCACTGATCTGGCATCATATTGTACGAAAGCCATGTATTATGCATGAATATTATTTTCAAAATTTAATAGGATTATGAGCATGATGCACTGGTCTGTGTATCAACCTAATCTAATACGGTACGAGAGCCAAGATGTACATGAGCCGGCCCTATGTATTAAAGATTGACACCTACTTGACATGGCACAATTTTTTCTTGGCTTGATACATGCACACTCTACGAGGTGGGAGCGATGTCACTACTCCATCACCTCAACTTCTACTTTATTACACATTTACACTAGTGTCTTACCACTACGTACGATACATCGTATTTTATGTTCTCTTTTGCTATCCGATCATAGTAAACGTTCTTTTAAACACCTTTTAATTTATAAAGTATAGATTGTTAGTTCCATGAAATGACACAACGCATGATTTGGGCCTAAAAACTACTCTTAGCTAGTTTTTTTTTTTCTTCACTAAATCAAGTTCGGTCTTAGGGATAATACACTTCTGACTAAGATATAAACAAAACTCGATTTTAGGGATATCACCTCAAAATTTACAAAGTAAACTGAATTTACCAAGTCAATTGTTGAATATTTCATCTTTTTTATTTTTTATTTTTTATTTTTTTATAAAGAATTGAATATTTCGTTTATGGTTATCCATAGCAAGAATAAAAATGTCTTAACTTTTTTTTCTTCTTTTGGTGCTTATGGTTCCCAGTCTAACTAAATAAATAAACGATATACGAGTGTAAAAATTGAATAATTTGGCTACCTTTGAGCTAAATTTCATCCTCCTTATACAGTTAACCGGATTCAATTTGTAACTTATACACCGATATTGACTATTCGAAACATATACTGATATAAAGCAGACCCCACCAAATATGGCTCAGACCAAACCCGATTGTTGTAAACAAATCATTTACTCCGTACTGGTTAGTATTTACCCCTTATTTAAAAATCTTGATTTGTTCTTAAAAAAAAAAAAATCTTGATTTGTGACACAAAAAAAGAAAGAGTGGGGGCAAAATCTGTTGGCGGTAAATAGTTGAACAACAAATGCAACAACAACCACCGTTGAATCGTTATACCAAAGCTAGATCTAGAGTCAAGTCATCATTTTCAACATTATGATTCAAGAAAACCAAACAAAAATCATTGTGCATTTTTACAATTACAATAGAATTTCCAACCAATTTCTTCTTTTTCTTCCAAATTCTCTATTTCTTTAAGTATATCTCTCTTTCTCTCTCCTATCAATCTCTTTCTAAAATTGATTGCACTCTTTCTCTCTCCTTCTCTCAAAGCTTTTAGTGTGAGGGTTTTTTTTAGATCCCTCAACTTCTGCCCCAATTTTTTGTGTCCTTTTCTTGAAAGGTCGTTTTATATTTTATTTATTGAATTTATTTTTTATGCATATCTTTGTACCTAACTAAATACCTTGCCAAATTTAAGGTAAAGTTGATTAGAGCATACTGGGTTTTTGTTTTTCTACATTGATGTCCTCTTTTAATCATCTGGGTACTTGAAATTCTTCATTTTTGCTGTAAATTTCGACATTTTTAGGGCTAAAATTGAGGGGTTTTGGTGAATTTGATCTGGGTTTTTTTGGGGGGATTTTAGTTTGTTCATGGCGATATTTTGGTTTATGATTATGGTATTTAATCAAATGGGTACATGAAATTTCTTCCATTTATGTAAGAATTTGAAAATTTTGGATTGGTAAAGTGGGGTTTTTGGAAATTTGAGCTTAGGTTGTTAAATTGTTGGTTTTACAATGGATTTGAATGGTGAAGAGTCAAAAACTAAGCCACTTATTAGTAGCTTGAAGCCTGAAAAGGAAGCTACAGAAGGTGTTCAAGAGGATGATGATGAATCAAAGAGATTGCTATCGCCTCGAAACGGCGAAATTGCAAATGGTGATTCAAAGATAAAGAAAGTTCAGTGGAATGATACTAATGGTGGGAATAAACTTGCTGAAATAGTGGAATTTCAACCAAGGTAATGAGGCATTTCTAATCATATTTTTTTTTTTATCTATTATGCAATCTTATGGTTTACCTTATGTTGTTGGATGATGTGAATGATGTGATTAGCTTGTAGAATTGGGATTTTAATTTTCGGCCTAAGTATCACTTTGTGTATATGTTTGTGACTATGATTTCGACTGATGTTGTTATGCATTGATGATCTCTCTATGCCATTCAGTTTTTGTGATCTTATGTTATACTAGTATATGTTTCTGGTGTACAAGTGTATTTTTGGTTTGTAAGCTTCGAATTTCGCCTTAACACACAGCTTTTGGTCTTGAATTGGAGGATAGGAATTGTTATTGCAGTTTTTTCAAATAATAAAACAGAGAAGATGAAAGATCAGGGGTGTTAGCCTTGTGTTGAGATTGTTGTTACTACTTAGTTTCAAAATTTTTTTTTGGGATTGAATGATCATTTTGGCTGTTTTACAATGGATATAGATGAGATTATAGTTGGGATTTGTGTTTAGTCCATTTTAACAATCATCCCTGGGCTTAGCTAAAAATCATACCTTACAGGAGTTACAGACATGAATATTACATGTCGGACAGACCTCTAGCAAAGATTGCTGTAGCAAGCTTCATTAAGTGGATAGTGAATTGGTTTTGGTTCGATTTTTGTTAAATTAAAGTGGATACTTTGGGTGATAAAGTTGGAATTTTTATTCGACGAGGGATTTTGCTAGCTCATTTTTTAATTGCATTTAAGGAGAAACTAACTTGTGTTCTAAAGGATAATTAACCCGTAATTCTCATCAAGTTGTAATTGTATTCTAATATTCAAAGTTAGGAATCTGTATATATTGTGCATGTCAAAGTTAACTTTCGGTTGAAGAAAGTGAAAATTAATATAAGCTTGCTAGGTATAAAATTTGATGTGTGAAATAATTGTTTGACGTTGCGATTATTGCAAATAAAAGTGTTAGATAAATGTCTGGACTTAGAGCTACAATGCCTTTAGGCAAGGAAAAGGATTAGTGTTAGCTTTAAGTTTCACCACCTGCTTCATATCACTCAAAAGAGGTAATACAAGCCTATAAACCTGAAGATTTGATTACTTATGAATAAGACAACTAATATCAATCAAATGATAAATCTTTTCCTCTTAGCTAATAATAGGAAAAAGAAATATAGTGTGATGTTAACCAAGCATTAACGGCAGCCCTTACAAATCATTGGATACTGGAAATTTGTTGAAAATTTTTATGAGTTTATAACTGTTATTTCATTGCGTTATTGATCTTTTTGGACTGACTCTACACTCTAATTCCCTTGACTTGATTTATATCAAAAGAGGGACATAGCTTGACTTGCGATAATTTCCTCTATGTTTGGTAGTGATGCAATATATGCAAGCATGTGTTTGAAGGTAGGGTTGCTGAACTGGGTGTTTGTCTGGAAGTGTCCAGTCAAGATAATCTGATTTAACATCAACAGCTCATCAATAACTTCTAGAGGATTTTATAGCCACTATTTGCATTGTTTGTTTCTTGGCCTGGTGCTTATCTGTTTGTTTGTGCTCATGATCAAGAGCATCGAATATTCTATGATGCATAAAATAATATCTGCTAGTTTCTTCTGTGACATTTTGCTATCTAAATTTTCTATAAAAGTGTTGCTTGAGGATTTCTTTTTTATAGAAGTCCTGTTGGAAGTTAGCTGATTTATTTCTTAGTCTCTATGGAAATTTATGTCAAAGTATTGTATGGTAATATAAGTATATAACGTTTAATCGCTTTTGAATGGCAGATTTGTTTTGAAGATTTGAACCTTCCAAGATTTGAACCTTCCATTTCCAATCTTTTTACCTGGCATTATGTAAACTTTTCAAAATTCATCAAAATTTAACTTACTTTTGCAAATTGTATTGTCAAATGTTACTTATTTACTACTTAATATGAGATATCGCTAGTAAGTGTTTAATCGTCTGGACTCTAGTGAAATGAGGGGCACATAAGATTATAAGCTGTATACATTCAACTGTTTGCACCAGCTAGTCTTTAGGTGCAAATTTAGCTTTTTATAGGACTTTATATACCTTAATAGTTGGAGGGACAGATTGGGAACAAGGCAGGCTGTGGCAACTGGAAAGCAACATCTTTAATCTGCCAACTAATGAAAAATCATCCTCATAATTTCAGTAGATTGCAATTACCACTTTAGACCATAGATGCAGATGGAAGTTTTTTTTTTTTCCTTTTTTGATAAGAATTATATTGCAAGTGCAAGTTTTATTAATGTGGGTTTGATGCTGAAAAATTGTGATCACGCCTATCTTAATCTTAGATCGACTACTGAGTGTTGATCCAGCTTTTGGCTGCTGATCTAAGAGAGACTCTGTTCTTGGTTATTCATTAATATAGCTACTCCCTCCCTCTGCCTCTTTTTGATTGGCCCATTTCCTCGTAATCACTTTATTAAGGCTTAGGCAGAGAAGTAAAGGGACGCCCTAAAATGGTATACAGGGCAATTTTTAAGAGATGTAGGGAGTATCTGCTTGGCTATTTCATTAATTGTGATTGATTGGACCGACTCATGTTTAATGAAGAGATTCTCTAAGTTGTGGGTGATTTAAGTGTAGTATTATTGCCCTGAATGATTTGCTTTTCTTCAAGACTCTGTTTTGCTAATACATAAATACTCTATATATATACACGCATATAATTTAAGATTCTGTAGGATTTCTTTTGTTTTGAAATATTGTTAATAATTGATGCTTCCTCGTGTTAAAGTGAATTGGAATGTGTATATTGTACATGTCCTATTTTTTTAATGATTATTGATTTCATTGGAGGATTTTTTTTCTGGTGCAGTGATGTAAGTGACAGTGATGACGATGAGGATTCGGATTCTTGTTTCTGTACAATAATGTAGATTTTACTTCAATACCAACACCAGTTTGTAGATTCTTATACTTAGTAGATGTTATTCTTACACCCACCATGGGCACCAATCTGCAACATTCTGCTGGAATATTCCACTGAGTTTGTCACTTCCTAATTCTGATTTTTGAATCATGAGATACAACTTTACTTAACTGCACTTCATATCTTGAATCTTGATTTCAAGATCACCGAGTTTGGGAAGCATTCTTTTGCCCATGGAAATTTTTGCTCATAGGCATCAGCTTGCGCTTGCGACAGTTGTCTAGTTTTACAGAGCATAATTAACTTTAACGGGTATGGAAGACTGATGGAGAATGTAAAAATCCACGACGATACTTGTAGCATGTCCTCCTAAAGAGAGGTAGATGCAAAAGATGAGCTTTTGTAAGTTTAAGTGTGTTTATTTTCCTTTTTTATTTTTTTTTTATTGTCAGTGACAACACTTTGTACTTCTGTTACTCTGAAACAAATTCTAATATATAAATCTTTTGCTCTGGTTGTAGAATGACACTTAACAACTTAATGGATCTCAAAGTTTTCACTCTGCTTAATTCTTGTGATTATTGTTAAAGCTCGGAATTTTATTTCCCAATCCAGATTTTGCTGTTACATTACCAGATTTGTAGACATTTTCTTCTATTACATCTGTCTAGTTGGAGCTTGGAGGGAAAGTATATTCTGCTGAAAATTATTCTGAAAATAAGATCATCTTTAGTAAAACATAATCATTCGAGATAATTTTCCGTGGGCTATTATATGGAAAATGTAATCCCCGAGTCAGATTCTTGTTGGCATTGGTTAGCTTTTTTGATCTCATGGTAGAGAGCGATGGGAATGATGTTGCCCATCATCTTACTATATAGTGCCGTTTTTGTGTATTATCCTGGCATTGGTTTTAAGCATTGGAATTGTTTTACACCCAAAATATTTTTCTTTCAGGCCAAAAATAATCTGTTGATTACAGGAGGGGAATACTGGCTTGTATGTTGATCAGTAAAACTTGGCCATACACAAACACAAACAAAATAATCATTTTGAGGAATAGGAAAATAGAATCATGCACACACTCACACTCACACTCAAAATTAGCATTTCCTTGTTTTAACTGTCTTCCACTGAGAAAGGTTCTCTATAGGGTTCAGCACCGGTACTATGTAGTGGCTCCTTAGTCGAGCGTTTGTTGCAGAACTGATAAGAGGCACAGAAGAACAATCGCGAAGTTCCTCAGTTACTTTCTCATTGTATGTGCTCTGAGGATCAATCGTGCAACTATCATCATCTTCATAATCATTATCAATGTCGTCATCATCATCTTCATCATCACTTAGCTGACCATAATCATCATCATCCTCAACCTCGTCATATTCATCTTCACCATCATAACAACAGTTGTATCTGTAGTTTGATGAGTACAATGGCAGTTTTGATTCAGTTGAGATAGTTTTACTGAGAGGTGCACAGATTAGACAGGCTTCTACTGCTGCTGTTGCTTGATCTGTTTTTTCGTCGCCTCTTTCTTCCCAATTGTTATCATCATGGTCATCCTCTTGTGAGCTCAGCGGCTCATAAGTTACCACCTCCAAATTAAACCTCACTTTCTTTCTGATCCTTGTCTTCGTTTCATCTTTCGGCTTCTCCCTACATAATAACAAACCATTACTCCACAACAATTCACCTGGCATTTCTTACGGTATTTGAAGAAAAGAACGTGAATAACCTTGTGCCGCCGAGGGTTTGTGGTGCGTCCAGCACTTTAGAATTATCCGAATGCAATGGCTCATATCCCCGAATTCTCTGTCAACCAAATGGAAAACAAAACATATACATACCTTAGTTTCAAACGGTTAAAAATTTAGAAAAATTGAAAAAAAAAAAAAAAAGAGTTGAGATAAGATGCTTAACTCTTCTGCTTTTGGAGCCAAATTTAGAGGCTGACTTCGGCCGTTTTCTCTTATTTGTACCACCAAAACATGCAAATAAGGTCCACCCCATTACCCTTGTATGCCTCTCTCGAGCTCGCTTGCTAAATCGTGCTTGATCCCCCTCCTTCTCTGTGGAAAGAGGGAGCTAGGTATGTTTTGTGAATATGATCAAATGGGTGAAATAAAGGTAGAAGAAGTGAAGAATAAGGGGTTAGTTGGGACTTGGGAGTAAAAGTGACACGGAAAAGTTATGTTATAGAAAGGAAATTTGGCTCCAATAAAATTCGGTTTTTGAAAATGGGAACGTTGGGATTTTTAAATTAAATCATTGCAACAAGAATTAGTTCACTTTCTTCTTTTTTTGAGACAGACAAATTGGACAGCTCTTTTTTTTTTTTTTTTTTTTCTATTCCTTCCCCTTCTAAATCTCTCCCTTATCATCCTTTTATTCTTTTTTTTTTCTTTTTTTTTTTCGGCTGTTGTTGTGAGATGGCAAGATTGTAAGACACTTCGTAACAAACTCCTACTATGTTGAGCATGTTATCAACCAAATTGGTGTTAGAAACAAGCATACTTTACCAACTAAACTACTCCGTATATACCATATAAATACGTACGATATCTGTGGCTAAAAATTTACTTTTATTGCCACAAATATTGTACTTCCAGCATATCGTGCATATTGTACTTGTATGTACTTTCAAATTATGATTGTAGTATTTTTTTAGTGTATGCAAATAATAAATGTACGAAGTTACTTGTGAAAAATATACGTAGTAGAACTAATACATGTGCTATGTGCCTCACTACGTCTTATTCTAATACGAGTAGCATTCCTTTGGACTTTGGAGTAACGTTTTTCAAAGCTTAGTACAAGTGGCAATTAAGTGAAATGATTTTTTAATTTATTTTTAGTCTTACTATTAATTGTAGTTACTCGGTTCAAATCTTGACCCGGCAAGCTTCACTTTTGCTACTAAAAATGCACAGACGCCGTATCACTCAATTGGCAATGAAGTCTTGGCATACGTCTCTGTGGCGAGAATACGAGGTTTTCTTTGTAAAGGAAGAAAATAAAGGCATCTGGCCATTCCTTCAAGAAACGAAATCAAGAATCATTGAAAAGGCAAGAGAGAAAAACAAGAGGACAGAAGAGGGGTTGAATTCAGCCAATCCATGGCTACAAAACGAAATGAAATAAACCATATAATGAACGAATAGTACAGGTACGGAGTAGCTAGTACTCTAGTAGTGTCATTGTGGCATGAAAAGAGTCCCCCTAAGAAACCAACTATCCAATTACCAAACAAAAAAGCTCTAGATAATGAGGCAACCTGCTCTCAAAGAACAAGCAACTTTGACGAGAAAAAAAGTGAGCATGATCTCGGTAATATGTGATGCAAAAGGTGCTATGGATGACTAATATGCTCTGCATATACTTGCTAGCAGGGAAACTCTTGTAACAAACTCTAATTTAGCTTAATTCTATGATCCTTTCTACCATAACAAAAAACATGCAAAAATCATATTCACACCAACTATCTTGGGATGTCTAAAAAATAGATTATGACCGAGTTGAGAAACATACACCCACTTAAAGAGTGGGGTAGACAGGAAGAATAAACAACTATCATACAGGATATTAAAGTGAAATCGTCGTCGATCCTTATTTATTTATGAGGGATAGGGACAATGTGACAATATATTCCTAAAGTTCAGAGTATAATGCATTAAATGACTAGCCATCCACAGCAGACTTAAAAAATTAAAATTAAATTAATAAAGCAAGCTCTAATGGAACTAATCCGTACTAACTCACTACTTCAAAGAGAGAGAGACTACTTCAGCAGGACAAAGTACTAACCCTACTTCAGAAGGGCAAAGGCCCACTAGCATCTATATGTGAAACTATACAGAGAATTCCTCAAAATTATCCTATACGACAGACTTAGCTTTCATCATCAAAATTTCCTACAAGGATAGACAAATTCCTCCACCAAATGTGAGGAAGGAAGAAAATATCCTAAATTAAACTCAACATACCAGATGGAGATCAGCTTAAAATTCCCACCAGCCCACCACACGTTGACACTTGACAGAAGATTGGAACAGAAGAGACCTTGCTTGGGTTGATCAGTCCCATGAATTCATTACGCCATCAGAACATTCTCACCATAAAACCGATTGCATGTTCAAGATTCCACCGCAAACTTGCATTTGGCTGTGTGAAGCCCACCCAATTTCAGAACTTGAGCACCTCTCCTGTACAACAAGGGCAAATACAGGGAGAAATTGATTATTGCCAAGAGTTAAAGCTTCAACTACCACTACGTTATCTCTATCCATTACGAACTGATCAACCCAACTTTGTCTACAGCTCCAATCTCTACCAGTACGAGAAGCTTCACTAAATCTCTGTTCCTACTTCACAAGTCAAACACAAGGTAACTACAGAAGATTTAAGTTCATAGACACATGCACTCATAATTTCCTGCTTACCTGATTCATCAAGGCTACTACAAGGAACAACCAAATCAATACAGTGCTAAAAATATACCAACCAAATAAACGGATTCAATATAAGCTTATACAGCTTAATCACTAGTGCAGTAAAAGTCTAATAGAGCAGCAGTAACAGCAAATAAACATCAAACAGCACACCAGATACCAAACTAAACTCAAACAAAAACAATAGTAAAAAGAAGCAACTAGTACTCCAAAAAACAAAATTATTATTAAACGCTAGCAAGATAACTACTGCAAACTACTGGGAATAAAGCAAGCCAACCAGTCCAACAGTATGCTTGAGATCGAAATAGGCTATCCCCCAGCAACTCTGAAGGTCAAACTTCTATGGTCCATGATGAATCAGTTGAGCAGAACTATGACTACTGCGCTTGTCTAGCCCCACCATATCCACCACCATATCCCATCTGAGCACCATGAGGTCCATTTGCCTGAGCTCCATAACCTCCAGCCCCGTATCCTCCATGACCATTGGCATCACCATAGCCCCCTTGCATCTCTCCACCGCCACCAGCAGCATTGCTACCAGGGGCACCTCCAGCACGATTACCTACGCTACCATATCCATCGCTTCCACCATAATTACCATATCCATAGCCTTGGTTTCCATACCCAGAGGCTCCACTTGGAGATTGACCAGTTGGTCCACCACTTCCAGCACCAGCAGCCCAAGGACCTGCACTTCCATAGCCAGCTGCACCGTAACCAGAGGCTGCCTGCGCAGCATTCCATGAACTTCTTTGCGCATTGGCATTGGGGTTTCCATAAGCTGCAGCACTGGCAGGGCCACCATAGCCAGGATTTGCACCTCCGTATCCAGCATACCCACCATAGCCCATGCCAGAATTGGCAGGACCATATCCATAACCAGCTGCACCATAACCAGAAGAACCATAACCTGGAAACGCACCTCCAGCACTCTGAGATTGCATAAAACTATTAGAATCCATTCTGCCACCATATGCATTTTGTCCGCCACTAGAATTATAACCGCCGCCGCCGCCTCCGCGACCACCCATACCAGGGTTGGCATCCTTGGGTAGAGCACGCTTCACCTCAACTTGCTTACCATTTAAGTCATGGAAGGTATTCTGCAAAACTCTATCTACAGCATCCTCATTGTCAAAAGAAATGAATCCAAAACCTCGGGGTCTCTCTGTATTCTGGTCATACATTATAACTACATCAGTTACTTGGCCATAGTTCTCAAAATACTGTCGAAAACCATCGTCAGTCAAAGTAGGAGGTAACCCCCCAACAAAAATCTTCTTGGTTCTGAAGTTTCCTCCACCACCTCCGCTTCTACCACCATTGTTGTTTCCGGTTCTTCCAGAGCTCTGTTGCTCTTCTCTCGACATAGCTCGCTTCGCCTCAACCTGGATTAAGGAAAAGCATTCCCCAAAAAAAACAACTTAAGATAGCATTCATCACATGCATTCATACATTTTTGTTACACAATCCAATCAAGACAACAAATTGACACTAGCAATCTAAATATAAGCAAACCCAATACAATAGATCAATACATCCAATCGAAAAAAAACAAATCAGGATAAAACCCTAGGAAAAAAATCATGAATAAAAAAGCACAAAACATCATTCAGCACCAAAAATCATACAAAACCCATATCAAACAAAAATAAATCAACACAAATACAACAGTAATCCCAAATGAAACATCTGAATCCAATAAATATTAAAACCCTAAAAATAAAAAACTAATACACTACATAAAGAATTACACAAATTCTAGAAAACCCAATAAAATTAATCAAAAAGAAAGAAGAACTTACAGGTCTACCATCAATGGTATGTTTATCCTGAAGAACACGATCGAGAACAGAAGGATCTGAGAAAAGAACAAAGCCAAAACCTCTAGGTCTACCAGTAGCTTTATCTCTCATAATATTAACCTGATAAACATCACCATATTGTCCAAAATAATCTTTGAGCTTTTCTTCAGTGGTTTCCCATGAAATCCCACCAACAAACAACTTCCCTTGATCTGAATCCATTGATTTAAATGAATACCCTTTAGAGATTTGCACCCCACTAATCTCTTTCCCTGGAAATAAATTGATGGGGTTTTTGGGAAAAAGGGGGATTAGGGAATTAGGAGAGAGAAAGTGGGGTGGAGAGAGATAAGGGTTTGGGGCGAACTGGTGAAGGGTTTGGAGGAAGAGAGAGAAGTAAGTGGTGAATGAAAGGGCGGATTTTGGGTGGTTTTTCAGAGTACGTGGGAAAGTTGATGGGTGAGATTTTTTCTATTGACGGTCACGATTCTATGCTTCTTTTTATTTAGGTTATTTTGATGGGGAAGGTAAGAGGGATCGAGGGGGTGCATGTATGCGATGTTTTAGACTTTTTGGTGCATAAAATAAGACTACTCCGTGAACGATTAGGGTTGTACGCAAGTTGAAAAACGAATTGAAATTGACCTGATGGTTAACTGCGGATTATAATTAGGTGCGCAGTGGATGAATAGGGTTGTGCACATGTATTAAAATCGGATTGGAATCGACCATGACGGTTGACTGTGGATTATTTAGCACTAGAATCGACCATGATGGTTAATTGTGAATTGTGTATTAAGTGTGTACTAGACTACTAGGGTTGTGCACATAAAATTGGATTGGAATCAACCATGAAGATTGACTACGAATTGAACCAGAAAAAATATCGATTCATAATGATTTGGTGGGAGGAAACTTATATATATGTTTGTTAGTAGATTAAGGGTTATGCAATGTGTAGAGGAGGAAAAAGGGGTCGGTGGATATCGACCTATGGCGAAGAGCAAGAATAGTCGTTGTGTACTTATGCTATGGAGTAGGTTACCCCTACACGCTTTTTGGAAGTGTTGAAGGTCGTAGTAGCTCATGGTCACATGGTGTGACTTTGACTAGCTCTTCCTACTACAACCAACTAGCAGATTGTATTTTTCCAGAATTGTACCATGTGTTCTAACTAAGTGTTTGTTTAGCCAAGCTACTAATGAACCATTTTTTGTTTTTCAAAAGTATTTTCTAGAAAAATTATAGAGTGTTTAGTTGTGTTAAGCTATGTTCATTTATGTTAGTAATTTAGAGTGTATGAATGGGGAGAGCCCTCTCCATGAAGTGTCGCGCCCGCGGTTCACTGGGGAGAGCCTTCTCCAAGGGCGCGGCCAGCCTTCTACAAATTTCAAAGGATGAGTTCCAACTTATCCTGTGCGCGCCCGCGGCGTGGACCCCAGCGACTGCAGCCCGCGTCGATTCAGTTTGCGGTTTTTCGTTCTTTTTATTCAAAAGGCGAATTGTGAAATTGAAAAAGGAATATAAAGGAAATTCGGTTTTCTCTCCTCTCTAAGTTATTTTCTCTCCACATTTTTCATTGAAGAATCTTGCAAACTCGTTATTGAAAACTCTATTAATCTAGCCAAATATTTGAGAATTTATCATCTAACTACGATTCTTAGTGCTAAGATCGTAGTGTTGTCTTTTATATCTCAAAGAGAATTTCTAGTAAAACTCAAGCACCGTTGTGGGGAAAATTAATCACTTTAGGAAAGTGTTTCACACGCCTAAGACAAAGTATCAAGGTTTGAGACTCATGTGGTCATTGGAATTCTCATGTTCATGTTCGTTTGAAAGGCTTGGAAGAGAGGCAAGTTTATAATCTTTCATAATAGTTAATTTCATTGTAATTTATGTAATTCATTGAATTAGTAGTGCTTGGTTTGAATACACTTGGTTGTATTGATTTGGTTGTATAATTTTTATAATTATACACTGTTTTAGGTTTTGTTCCCAAATAGTTTGTATTTAATTTATACTAGAAAACTTAACAATTTCACAAATAACTTGTTACTTGTTTCAAATTATATCAAGAAAAATTAGTTCAGTTTAAATTAGATAAGTAAGAATAAGGTGACTTGACAAAGCCATGGAAGCACTTTTGAAAAGCTTAAATAATTTTGTGTTATTTGGCCAACTAAATCTATTATGAACTAACGTATTTTTTACTCTTAACTCTTCTTCAATCACCTAGCATCATTTGTTTTCATAGAATATACAGACAAAATCTATAAAGTATCATATGTGAAGTAAGGTCTTTCTCCCAAGCGTTGTTGACCTATATAGATGTGTTGGCTAAATTATAAGGAGTTCTAAGAGTTTTCGTAATATAACATGTATCAAAGATATAATTTAATAATATAAGAGGTCTTTAAGACATCAATTTAGTTGCTTTTCTATACTCTCGTTTTTGAAATTCTAAGATATAGATAAAATTTCCTTTCTTACCTAGCAATAGCGAAGCTCATTTAAACTCATAGCTGTATTTAGAGGGTGAAGAGATCGACTTCACTCATAGTATAAGTACAAAGGATAATACTCTCCTCCCGAAACTTTGAAAACCTAAAATTGAGACACAAGCCCTTGGTTTTAAAATAATACCAGCTTTCCCCATCTAAGCAGAATTCCGTCGGGCTGCCGGCGATTAGAGGGGGTTGGCTTGCTCCTCAATCGCCGGCAAGCCCCCTTTATCAAGTCTCAACCAAAATCGTTGTACCTAGCCGCGACCACCTCCATTAGTCCTAGTTTTTTCTTAAATAAAGCTCGTTGTGGGTTGGGCTCCGATCTCCGATCGCTAGTTAACGTTTTGCTCAATTTATAGCTAAGTTAATTTATTGGTTTTCACATTACCCAAGTTATTTGAGAAGGGTTTGAATAATTTATTTTTTTT